CACATTGCTACCAAGAAAATAGATCTATTCAATCCACATGATCCTAATCCTGGCAGTAAGCATGCATTGTGCATAGTGACGTCAGTGTGTCTGGCTCCGCCCAACATGTTTTGTCAGGTTCAGTGATATTTTTATTTAATTATTAGAAATATTAAAAATATACTAGCCAAAGTGAGCACATTTGTTAAAGGGGGTGGAAGTTGGAAGGATTACTGAAACAAATATTATTATGCCAATTCTGTGAGGATTAGCAGTATAGCGTCAATACTAGAGAAGAATATTTAGAGTGGAACAGTGTAGAGTATGTAGCACACTGCATAGTGTACACGATGGGGCAGATGTGACTATGCCACATTTAGCACAGTGTACAGAGAGGACACCCCACAGTGATCAGCACATACATCCCATACCCCCCCCCCCCCCCCCCCCCCAGAACCCCTATCAATGGATCAGCATTCTGTCTGATGTCAGGATAATGGCAAATCTTAACATCCTAGTCAGCAACCTTCATTTTTTGCCAGACTTCTGTCATGATGCTCCACCCACTTCCTGCACATCACTTCCTTACCACTCCAATAGCTGACTCTTGTGCACACAGATTTCTCCAGTCTCAAAATATTTTGATATTAGGCACTGTAGATGATGACTTTGCAATTTTACATTTGAGCAATATTATTATAAAATTTGTTAACAATTTTTAGATGCATCTTTTCACAGATTGGTGAACCTCTGCCCATCTTTACTTTTAAGACACTCTGACTCTCTAAGATGCTCTTTTCATACCCAATCATGTTACTGACATGATGCCAATTAAACTAATTGGTTGCAAAATGTTTTCCATCTCTTCCTTGTTAGTACCACTTACTTTGCCAGCTTTTTGTTGCCCTGTCCCAACTTTTTTGAGATGTGTTGCTGCCATCATTTTCAAAAGTACCTTATTTTTTCTTAAATGGTACATTCTCTCAGTTTAACATTTGATATGTTTTCTATTTTCTACTGTGAATATAATATGGATTTTTGAGATTTGCAAATCATTGTATTCTGTTTTTATGTAGATTTTACACAGTGTCCCAACTTTTTTTGGAATTGGAGTTATGCAAACGATGTACAAGTACAAGTATTAGTAAATGAAGGGATAAGGCAACATTTAAAGCTTGTGTAGTACACAGCCTTTCCTTTTCTTCCTTTCAAGAAGTCCATAAAAGGAAGAGTAGGGTGAAAGATGACTCACCACCTGACCATATTCCTTCATATAAATTCCAACTCCAGGAAATGTAAAAACCGTCCCTTGCAGTGGGGCTGCATCCACACTTGTGTCCATCTATGGGATGAGGAAAGCACTTTTACCTGTCTAATCCTCTGCTCCCCTGACAGACAACGCTCTGGTCTGTTCCTCAGAAGACTCACATCCATTGCAGGGCTATTGGCCTTGCATCGGTCTTGAGAACATCAGAGGACCTTAGACTGTTGGAGTGTTAGGAAGAAGACGCTGCAGGGATTGGTCTAGCAGCACGGAGGAGCCTGCTGCAACAAGGGTCTCATAAGTAAAACTGCTTTTCAAGTCCCCTAAACATATACAAGTGTTTAATCCTTGCAGTGTGGATGCAGCTACACTATGAAGGAGCATTTTTACTTGTTAAGCTTTATCCACTTGCCTACAGGGCACTTATACCCCCTTCCCGCCCAGGCCAATTTTCAGCTGTCGCACTTTGAGTGACAATTGTGCGGTCATGCAACACTGCACCCATATGAACTTTTTATCATTTTTGGTCACACAAATAGAGCTTTCTTTTAGTGGTATGTACTCACCGCTGGGTATTTTATTTTTTGCACTATAAACAAAAAAAGAGCAAAAATTTTGAAAAAATTTTTTTTTCCTTTTGTTTCTATTATAAAATTTTGCAAACAGGTAATTTTTCTCCAACACTGATGTGCGTTGATGAGGTTGCACTGATAGGCAGCACTGATGGGCACTGATAGGCGGCACTGATGGGTGGCACTGACTGATGGCACTGACTGGTGGCATTGATGGGCACTGATTGGCGGCACTGCTGGGCAGCACTGCTGGGTTGCACTGCTGGGCACAGGTGGGTGGGACTGCTGGGCACAGGTGGGCGGCACTGCTGGGCACAGATGGGCGGCACTGGTGGGTGGTACTGCTGGGCACCGATCATCACTGCCCTGATGATCGGTGCTGATCCCTGCTCTGACAATTGCTGGTTATCAGAAGTACTTTCCTCACGCTGTGACAGTGTGAGGAAAGTGCAGCTGATAACCGGCAACTGCATTTACAGGTGATCTGCTGTGTCATTGGACACGACTGATCACGTGGTAAAAGGCCGCTGTGATTGGCCATTTATCACCTCACCGAATCAGCGGGTGCGCACCCCCCCAGAACTCGCCAGCATTTGGCTATCTGCGGTCGGCAAATGGTTAAATTAAAGGAGAGCTATGGTCTAAGCATATACGCTCATTTTATAACATCAACATTGTAGGAGCAAAAAAAAAACCAATACGACCTAAGTTTAAAAATCTCTTTTCATGTAGTAAGTGTCACCTGTCTGCTGGCCATCTCCAACCAAAGCTTCCAGGATTTCCTGCATGCTTTGCAGCTTGTCCTCTGTTATTTATGTTCGGTTGCCAAGGACTACATATCCCTTTGTACCTTGCTGCCTGCAAGCAGTGATTCCTGTACTGACTCTGCCTTCTGAAACTTCTCCTCTCAGCCCCTCTGTAGTTCAGAAGGCAGGCTCTGTGAAATGTGTGACACCTTGGTGCCTACTCACTGGGCATAGTGATTACATGTCACTGAATTCAAGGAAATAAATGTGTGGGATCGTTAACCGCTTCCTGGCCACCTTATAGCAGAGCTACTACAGGGCAGCAGGGCTGCGCAAAATCACGTATATATACATGATTTCGCATTTCCAGGTAGGGGGTGCGCACCGACCTAAGTGGCTACAGCTTTCAATCACAGGTCCCTGCCTGGTGATTCACTGATCACTGTATTGGTATCACTGGGGATGTCAGTGACAGTTAGTCAGTTCCCCCCAGTGTCAGAATGCCCACCGCAGTCCCGCTATAAGTTGCTGTTCGCCGCCATTACTAGTATAAAAGAAAAAAAAAAAACACTTTCACGTAAACCAATTAATTTACACGTATTGGTTTTTTTTTAGCAAAGACATATAGCAGAATAGTACATTTCGGCCTAAGTTATGAAGAAATTAGATTTTTTTATTTTTTTTTACTGGATATGTTTTATAGCAAAAATATCAAAAATATATATATTTTTTTTAAAAAAAATTTTAAATCTTTTTTTTATTATAGCGCAAAAAATAAAACAAAACGCACAGGCGATCAAATACCACTGAATAAAAGCTCCATTTGTGGGGAAACAAAGGACATTAATTTAATTTGGGCGCAGCATGGCATGACCGCGCAATGGTCAGTTAAAATAATGCAGCACCATATCGTAAAAAATGGCCTGGTCAGGAAAGGGGGGGGGGGGGATCCTCAGGAGGGCAAGTGGTTATGTTTGCAAACTTCAGATCATTGCGATGAATAGGAGTAGGCTACAAATAATTGACATATAATGTGAAAATGGTCAATTTTGACCATAGAAAAGCTTTATTTGCTCATGGCTTTGGGTTTTGTGATCCTTGCGATAATTTATGCATCTCTGTGTGCTGGAATCGGAAACAAAAACGTTTCTGAATGGCAGCCCTGCCATTAATTCCAGTTTTGTGAAGCTCAGAACATTCCGTCTGTATTGAGTTACAGAAGTGCTGATTTCGCTCGGCTGTAATTTTGGAGGCTGAACTTTTGTGTCAATAAGCCTGTTAAGTGCCACTCCGCTGCTGCCGATGTGTGACTTGTGACCGCTGTTCCTCTTCGCTGATGTAGTTTGCTCTTGTTGAATACCCTACTATTATTTTGCAGACTATTTTTCACTGAGATTAAATGGATTTACAATTTGTTTGGACCAATGCGGCTGCAATTCAGACACAACTAGCCTCTTTGCCGCTCTATTAGCTGCTTTGTTTTATATTTAACTACTTCCCGTCCGCCCTATAGCAGTAATACTGCTACAGGGTGGCACGGGTGCACAAAATCAAGTATATATATGTGATTTTGCATTCCCAGCTGTCAATCACCAGGTCCCGGCTGGTGATTACTCGCTGGCACCAGGTAATCAAGGAGCATTACAGACGAAGGGAGAGAACTGTATGTAAACAATACAGATCTCTCCCCCGTCAGCTCCTGTGCAGTGCTTTAAATGCCTCTGCATAGCACAGCCATACAAAGCAGTGTGCTTACAGTGAAGCACAGACATACAGCACACATAGTAAAACAGCACACAGTTAACCCACAGTCCTGCTAAAGGTTGCTGATCGCCACCATTACTAGAAAATTTTTTTTTAAAAAATCTCAGTACGGGCATACCTTGGTTTACGAATTGAATGCGTTCAGCAGGACTTTTCGTATTGCGAAAAATTCATAAACCGAAACGCGGTTTCCCACAGGAATGCATTGAAAACCAATTAATCCGTTCCGGAGGTCAGAAAAAAGTAAAAAAAAAGTCTTATCTGTTCAAAACTCTTTATAAAGTGCACTTTAACCACCTCCCGCCCGCCATATAGTCCAATGACGGGCGCAAGGTGGTTCTCTCGTTCTGGGAGGACATCATATGACGTCCTCTCATTCTCACCGCGCATACACGGCTCAGGGAGCGTGGCGATTGGCGGTGCGCTGTGTCCCAGGAAACAGCGGATCACCGATCCACGGAAAGAGCTGAAGATGTCGGCTCGGTCATGTGATCAGCTGTGTCCAATCACAGCTGTTCACATGTAAACAGGGAAATGCCGCTTATCGGCATTTCTCTCCTCACGAGCTGTCACACTGACAGTTCGAGAGGAGAGGAGAGCCGGTAATCGGCATTCCACGGAGGGGACATGTACCCTGATGATCAGTGTGCCCTGATGATCAGTGTGGCCCCAGAAGTGCCACCTGTCAGTGTCCATCAGTGCCAGCTGTCAGTGCTGAACAGTGCCACGTGCCAGTGCCCATCAGTGCCACATCAATGCCACATATCAGTGCCTACCAGTGCACAACAATGCCACATATCAGTGCCCACCTGAGCTGCCTTTCAGTGTCACCCATCAGTCACCCATCAGTGCCAGTCAGTGCCACCTATCACTGCCAATCAGTGCCACATATCAGTGCTGCCAATCAGTGCCACCTATCAGTGCTCAGTCGTCTATCAGTGCCAGTCAGTGCCGCCTATCATTGTGCATCAGTGCCAGTCAGTGCCACCTAACAGTGACAGTCAGTGCCACCTAACAGTGACAGTCAGTGCCACCTAACAGTGACAGTCAGTGCCACCTAACAGTGCCATATATCAGTGCTGCCTTTCAGTACCTATCAGTGATGCCTGTCAATGCCCATCAGTGCCACCTACCAGTGCCTCCTCATCAGTGCCACCTATCAGTGTTCATCAGTGCAGCCTATCAGAGCCCATCACTACAGCCTCATTAGCACACATCAGTGAAGAAGAAAAATCACTTATTTACAAAATTTTATAACAAAAACTAAGAAAAACTTTTTTTTTCCTAAATTTTCAGTGGTTTTTGGTTTGTTTAAGAAAAAATAAAAAACCCAGAAGTGATTAAATACCACCAAAATAAAGCTCTATCTGTCACCAAAAAATGATAAAAATTTCATAGGGGTACAGTGTTGCATGACCGTGCAATTGTCATTCAGAGTCTGACAGCGCTGACAGCAGGAAATTGGCCCTGGGCAGGAAGGGGGTATAAGTGCCCTGTAGGCAGGAAGGGGGTAGAAGTGCCCTGTAGGCTAGTGGTTAAAGGCATAGTACTGTACAGGGACATGATTAAAAAAAATTTGTACATGCATTGAAAACCAATTCATTCGTTCGTATTGCGAAACAAAATTGTAAACCAAGGCATTATTTTTAATGGATTTTCATTCATAAACTAAAAATTTTCGTTCGTTCGTAAACCGAGGTACACTTGTATATATACCATGCTATAACTTTCAAATAAACCAATTAATTTACACGTATTGGGATTTTTTTTAGCAAAGACGTGTCGCAGAATACATTTTGGCCTAAATTTATGATGAAATTTGATTTTTTTTTACATTTTTTTACTGGACATGTTTAATAGAAAAAAGTCAAAAATATTGTCTTTTCTGTTTTCTGTTTACAGTGCAAAAAATAAATGCACAGGCAATCAAATACCACCGAAAGAAAGCTCAATTTGTGGGATAAAAGCACATAAATTTCATTTTGGTGCAGCATTGTATGACCGTGTAATTGTCAATTAAAATAACTCAGCGCCGTAACGCAAAAAAATGGCCTGGTCAGGAAGGGGGGTAAATCCACTGGAGGGCAAATGGTTAATATGCAAAAACCAAAATAATATGACACTTTTACAGCTGATTGGCCTAATATGGTTTCCCTTGGTAGCCTTGTTTGCAATTAAAAATTTGCATCTTTAATGTTTAGGTCCTATTTTATGTGGGTGTTTTCATTATTGCCAGTAAACCTTGGATATGATATACCCTTCTCACGTTTCAGTTTGAATGTGCTGATTAATGTGTATTTCCATTTTGCAGCCAAATTAGGAAAACACATACTTTATATTTGTTTCAAGTCTCCATTCACATAGCATAATTTAAAAATCTAACAAAAATATTTTCAAATTACTGTTAATCTTTCTATTAGTTTAAAATCTTACCTAGCATAACCCTTAGGTAATGCTATGTTATGCAATAGTATATAGATGTCTGGGGAGTTGTTACTATAATTTACTATGTCTTTACTGTGCTGGCAAATCTCATTATCATTTACAAACTAGATGTGCATACTGTCTGTCCTAACAAAGGGATACAAAATCTCAAGGCTTGGTTGGTGCATTGTATGTTAATATTCTTTTACCAGTCTGTCCCGCTGTCTGTTTGTTAATTACAAGTCACACCCATCCAAAGTTGCATCCAAGTCGTACCCAAGTCGAATTCAAGTCGCACCCATCCAAACGTTGCATCCAAGTCACATCAAAGTTACACCCATCCAAAGCCACATCCAAGTCGCATCAAAGTTGAACTCAAGTTGGAGTAAAGTCACACCCATCCAAAGTCGCATCAAAATAAGTACTTTTCCATTGGCAAAAACCCTAGAAAATATAAAAAATGCATTTATAAACGCAATATTTCTGTTTTTGGTGTAGGTCCATTGAAGTCTATTACTTGCAAAATGTAATCTGCTGTGGGAAAAAAAGTCCCTGACCCTTTCCGGAAAACACACCTTCTCAAAATACACAAATGTGAACTAGATCCATAGGAAATCATGTCAAATGCACTGCGGTGTGTTTCTGCAAACTGAAATGTACTGAAATCCAAAAATCCAGAATCCTAGTGTGAACCTAGGCTAAAGGTTAATTTCCCACATCTGTAGCTGTGTAGTGTCTGTGTATAAATAGTCAATGGGTTTGTTAGCTCTCACATGGATGCACTTAGCAGGCTAGATACTGAGCCATGGGGAGTAGAAAAGAACTGTCAAAAGATCTGCGTAACAAGGTAATGGACCTTTATAAATATGGAAAAGGATATAAAGCGATATCCAAAGCCTTGAATATGCCAATCACTACTGTTCAATCACTTATTAACAAGTGGAAAATTTGGGGATCTCTTGATACCAAGCCAAGGTCAGGTAGACAAAGAAAGCTTGCAGCCATAACTGCCAGAAGAATTGTTTGGAATACAAAGAAAACCCACAAGTAACCTCAGGAAAAACACAGGCTGCTCTGGAAAAAAATGGTGTGGTAGTTTCAAGGAGCACAATGCGACAATACTTGAACATACATGAGCTGCATGGTCGAGTTGCCAGAAAGAAGCCTTTACTGCACCAGTGCCACAAAAAAGCCCAGTTACAATATACCTGACAACACTTGACACACCTCACAGCTTCTGGCACACTGTGATCTGGAGTGACGAGACCAAAATAGAGCTTTATGATCACAACCAAAAGCACTATGTTTGGAGAGGGGTCAACAAGGCCTATAGTGACAAGAATACCATCCGCACTGTGAAGCATGATGGTGGATTACTTTTTTTGGGGGGGTGGAGGTGAGCTCTAAAGGTATGAAGAATCTTGTGAAAATTGATAGCAAGATTAATGCAGCATGTTATCAGGAAATACTGGTATTCTTTTGCATAAAAGCTGCGCAATGGACGCACTTGGACTTTCCAGCTTGACAATGACCCTAAGCACAAGGCCAAGTTGACCCTCCAGTGGTTACAGCAGAAAAAGGTGAATGTTCTGGAGTTGACATCATAGTCTCCTGACCTTAATATCATCGAGCCACTCTAGGAAGATCTCATACATGTGGTTCATGCAAGATGACCAAAGACTTTGCATGACCCGGAAGCATTTTGCCAAGACAAATGGGCAGCTATACCACCTGCAGGAATTCAGGGCCTCATAGACAACTATTACAAAAGACTGCACACCGTCATTAATGCTAAAAGGTGCAATACACGGTTTTAAGAACTAAGGGGGTGCAGACGTTTGAACAGGAGTAGTTTAATTTGTTTACTTGTTGCCATGTTTTATTTTAAGATTGTGCCATTCTGTTATGGCCTACAGTTGAACATGAATCACATAAGGGAATGTATACACTATAAAGATTCTTCATATATCATCATATATCATGTAACTGCTGGCATGTATAACTGATGGGGAATTTCACCATCAGGTATACATACCTCAATAGGCATGTTTACACTCACCGAACACTTTATTAGGTACACCTTGCCAATGTCAAGAAAATATCCCCCACACCATTACACCACCACAACCAGCCTGAACCGTTGATACAAGGCAGGATGGGACCATGCTTTCATGTTGTTTATGCCAAATTCTGACCCTACCATCTGAATGTTGCAGTAACCAGTCTGCCCATTCTCCTCTGACATCACCAAGGCATTTTTGTCCACACAACTGCCGCTCACTGGATATATTCTCTTTTTCAGACCATTCTCTGTAAATCATAGAGATGGTTGTGCGTGAAAATCCCAGTAGATCAGCAGTTTGTGAAATACTCAGACCAGCCCCGTCTGGCACTAGCAACCATGCCGTGTTCAAAGTCACTTAAATCCCCTTTCTTCCACATTCTGCTGCTTGGTTTGCACTTCAGTAAGTCATCTTCACCACGTCTACATGCCTAAATTCATTGAGTTGCTGCCATGTGATTGGCTGACTAGCAATTTGTGTTACCAGGCAATTGAACAGGTGTACCTAATAAAGTGGCTGGTGAGTGTATACAGTATATCATGATAACCCTATTGCAAATAATGCTGCATTTGCATAATGGCAGCACTGCCTTTAAAACGATGTTAACTTTTGGAACCATATATGTATAAAAAAACTGCAGCGCTCACAATGTGATTAATATCTAAATCAATATAAATTAAAAAGTATAAAAAAGCAAAGAGAACACTGTGAAATGGATAATTGAGTCCCAGTGCAAGAGGACACAGTGAAAAGTCCAAAAATGCAATTATGAATCTTCAATCGCTAGGATAATCTTGTATATCCAAAGTGCAGCATAGTTATCCACCCCACAGACAAAGGGGGTGGTATAGTCATCCTGGATAAGGATGATTATAATATGGGAATGTCTAGAATTTTGGCAGACACAGAAACATTCAAAATTAGCACATAATCCTACACATAAGTATAAGAAAGATCTTAAAAATGTTAGTTGATGGGGGTTTTAAAGAAGGAATCCTAAATAAGAAAGAGAGAGCATTCCTGGTACCCTTAGCCCCTAGGGTGCCAGAGATGTATAATTTGCCGAAGATTCATAAATCTTTATCTCCCCCCCCCCCCCAGGTAGGCCCATCATTAGCGGGTTAGATTTCATCACATCCCGAATTGGGAGATATATCGATTATTCTTTACAACTGTTGGTGCTTGATACCCCGGCCTACTTGAAAGATACTAGACATGTGATCAACATCTTGGGGGAATTACAATGGAAGCCAGGCTGTATTATAGCCACAGCTGATGTGGCATCATTTTATATGTTCATTTCCCAGAAACATGGGCTTGAAGCAGTACATCATTATTTGTACCATCACTCTCCCATTCCATTTGAGCAGAAGAAATTCATCCTATGCCTTGCAGAATTTTCTAAAAGCCACAATTATTTTTGGTTTGGTGGCTCTTACAGTGTAAGGGTGTAGCCATGGGGGCTAAAATTTGCCCGAGCATCTCCAGATTATTTATGGCCATGTGGGAGAGGACCATAGTGTTTAACCACTTGACCTCCAGAGGATTTACCCCCCTTAATGACCAGGCCTCTTTTTGCTACTCGGCGCTGCACTAATTCAACTGATAATTGCGCGGTCATGCAATGCTGCACCCAAACAAAATTTATGTCTTTTTTTTCACACAAATAGAGCTTTCTTTCTGTGGTATTTGATCACCT